AAGATCGTAATAAATTCATGTTCCAAATCACGTTTTACAATACCTTTTATGTTATCTATAATCTTAATCCGTAACAAAGGATAAGAACTAGAATATATTAGTCCATCTCGACCCTTCCGACAAAACCTTACTATGAACTGTAGTAGAATAATCTACTCTCATGATCTTAAATTATTGCTTTGCCCTACAATGTAAATCTTATTGTAGATTATCTTTAACGTTACGTATCGTTATATAAAAATACTAACTGTCGCCCGTGACTGCGTCCGCGTGGAATTAAGAAGTACATAATTAGTATCCTACGTGTTTATTCAGACTATGTTCTATATGCATGCCATTCATCGAGATACATTCAGCTGTTCTGGAGATACCTTATAACAAACATCCATCCATCCATCTATCTAAACGAAATATATTAAAGATGGCTCCTAAGAATATTGTAGTAAGACAAAAATGCCGCTTTTCAAAACGACTACTTCAGTGTGCGTAAATAACATGTTTTCTTACATTAAGATTACTTTCCCTTTAAAATGTCATTATTTGAAAATATATGAGGGGGATAAGTCCAATTGGTAAATTACTCAAAAATTAAGTTACTACCTTTTGCTTAAGACTCGTATCTAAGATATACGTACGCTTATAGATTTACTATTAGCGATAGAACAAGACATTTGCCTGATAGTAATCACCAGAATTTGAAATTGTAACGCGATCCTCAAAGGTTTTCGTGTCTCTTTACAAAAGATTCCTATTCAAAATTTTACTTACTCTATCTTTACCTAGATAGAGTAAGTAAAATTCAATCAAATTCAAATCAAAAGCAGTCAATATTAGCAAAAACAATTTTCTATGCAGTAAAAGTTAATTTCCAAATTTTAACGTAACAAAATATTCTCTAGTGAGATTATAAAATAAAGAATGTTCACACTTTTACCGTGGCATGTACAAAACGAAATTCAATTTATGTAGAAATTAAACAACGCTTGCGAACGTTGCCGGGGATTTCACCGAGTGCTCCATTACGTGTAACGTGACAAATTGTATTCACATGCCGCAAATTGAAATGCGATTGAAATTAAGGCTTACGTTACGCTTCAGTAACAGATTAGGCTAGTTAAATACAAAATATACATTTTATATATTGGGTACACATTTTTTTAAGAATAAATGCCGTCTTACATCAATGTTGTAGGGTTCCATACATGGGCCGCGGACGAGAGCGAAAGCGTGCCCGTGGTCCCGTCCCGATGCGTTGGAGGAACAGAGAGGTTTAGTGGGTATGCCTCCGATATGGAGGAGAATCCCACATAACTACCGCGTCCCCCCACGGGGTGCGGAGTATGCATAAAGCATTCCTCTCTGGAAAAAAAGGGTTCCATCCACACCATCTCGCGTTTTGACGAACTTTAGCCCTCACACCGCCGCATTGTGAAATAACCTATCTTTGACGATATTTCCAAACCACTACGACTTATGGTCCTTAAAGAAGCCAGCGTATCACCATCTTAAAGGCCGGCAACAACAAGTTCTTCTGGTATTGCAGATGTGTGTTTTTCCAGACTATGTTCTATATCTATGCCAAACAGCGAGATCCGTTTAGCTGTTCTTCTTCTTCTTCGCATTCTTCATTACTGAAGGTCGTGCTTGTCTTGATATGCTTTTACTGATGCGTCGATGCTGCCTCCACGCCGTCCTGTTTTTGGCTTATCTCAGGGCAGTCGTGGTAGTTGTTCTAGAGATACCAAATAACAAACATCCATCCATCTATACATTCGTATTTATAATATTAGTAATTAAAAGTATTGTATAATTATTGTTTTTTGCAGAATCAGTTTTGTCAAGTTTCTGTTTCTAATTAAGATTGTAAGATTGATAATATTATTTTATAATAACAATACTAAAACATGTGGTTGTTCTTAAAAGCTTATTTGCAACCACACCTGCGTCGTGTGCAGTGAGCTTTCGGTATAAAACTTTGATGTGAACTAAAATTTATGCCTGGAATTTGAAAGCTGTAATATTTTCAGACGATCAAATACTTAGTAATAAGCTTATTTGTATTAATTTATGTACAAAATATTGGAGTTTATTTTAGAATTTATTACAAAACCAGTTTTATTGATACAGTTCTTTTTAAGAAACGTTACATGAGTGAGAAAGAAGATACTGCAAGGTAAAAGAAAGAGAGAGACGTAAATAAATTAACATTATTGTTGTCTCAGTTTATATAATAGGAAAGAAAGGGATCACTGCTTATGCTTTTATTCATTTGTTTCGGCCACTGACTCTCTATACATGGACCGGCTACATGTCGTGATATTTTGTGCCTATTTGATTTTTTTTGGCGCTAATGGTTGTGGTAGTGATTTATTGTGAATAAATTTAACAGGAGCGTTTTAGTCGGAACGGAGAAAATGTATTATATTTTCTAACCATGTCCATCCATTTATAAAGATGTGATTTCGGTATAGTACACAGAATTGAAATGCATGAGTATATCCTCGTATTATTGGTAGAGACTTCATTTATCAAGACGTAGCCTTGCTGTAGCTGCGCCGACAGCTCCGGCCGCTGTTATCTCACGTACTATAAATCAGTTTGTCACCTGTGAGTGTACAGAATAAATGTAATACGTATTTAGAACTACAGGATGTTTATATTTCGCAGTTAAAAAAAACTCTATTATTTATGACCGACTAGTAGTCGCACGCGATTCCGTTTGGGCGGTTTAAAAAACTTAGTAGTTTATGTGTATGTGTATGTGCAGGCTATGTTTTACATCTATCAAATATTTATCCATCTATCCATTCGCATTTATAATATTAGTAAGATATTCCCCGGACTGATCAAGAATACAGTCAGTTATGTTTTATTGCCTTAAACTTAATTGCTAACATGTTTAAAATTTTCATCATCATCAGCTCAGTATACGTCCCCACCGAGGGGCTGGGAGCCTACCCTAAGTTAAAGGTGATTACGCCATAGTCAACCACGCTGGCCCAGTGCGGGTTGGTAGACTTCAAACATCTTTAAATTTCTTCTCAGATATGTGCAGGTTGCATCACGTTTTCCTTCACCGTAAGAACGTCGGATAAATGTACATTTGTAAATCGAAAAACATATTGGTACAAAGCGGGATTCGAACCCAGGACCTGCAGATTACAAGTCAAGTGCTTTACCACTGAGCCACCGACGCTTATTAAAATTTTATTTCTGTTTATCATCAATTTAATGTATAAAGTTTATTTACGTGTTAGAATGTTTTTATTTTGAAATTTGATCAGTTAACTTCAAGTTTAGTGGTCAAAGTTGTGGTCTTCGTTACATCGTTGGTAGACTTAAGTTTGAACTTTCAAAGTTGATAGTTTGAGTTGGAGTTTACACCTTGGCGGCAAACTTTAGTGTAAACTAATAGTTTATTAATTAATAGATGAAAGGCTCTAAGTTTTTTTTACGTTGAATCACATAAGAACAATATTTCCAAAGTAGAGTGAAGCTTACTAAATTATGACATACCATTTTCGAGTCATCACTCGACAAGTTGGATTTTGGTCAAAATTCTTTATGAAGAATGCCGTCTCTTTCTTTAGTTTGAAAAGAAAAGAGATGGCAATATCAAATATTTCGTAAGACCATTTGCTTTTGCAATGTTGAGTAACCAATCGTTTCCATTGCCGAAAAATTTATATCTATCTACTCAGCCATGAGACGCCCACTGCTGGGCATAGGCCTCCTCCAAAGATAAAAATAAAATTTTATATATATAATAAAATTCCAGACATTATAATTTTGATGAAAATAAAACTCCAAAATAAACCAAACAACAATAGTTAACCATTTACGATTTTGTTTGGTTTAAATTTTTTTCCTGTTTCATTTCACCCTTTCTTAATTCTGTTTGTTTTTTTCTTGTTATCTTCTTTTAAAGGATTATTTTGTGTCTTACAAAATCTTTTCCTGTTTATTCATATTATAATATTTTGTAAGTTTATAAACTAAACATAATTAGTATCTTTATGATTTATTTATTGTTTCTCATCTAAGCTACTATTTTAAAGAGATATTATTTGTTAATTTATAAATATTTTTTTTCTATTTATTAGTGTTCCGTCTATTTTAAATTCATCAATAAAAGTAAACTGTATTTCAATCACGTTTCAGCAATAAAATGTCCCCCGTTTACTTTTTAAGAAACGTCAAAGCGGAGAAATCCTTAATCGTATTTTGTTTAGTTATATTGCCTTTTACAAGATATAAGGCAATTTAATTTGATATAGCTTTTACCCAAGACTTCTTCCGTGTGTAATAAAAAAAACTTAGCAAGTAGCCTATCCGTTATTTCAGGTATTTTTCTATCTCTTTGTCTTCCAACAAGATCCGTTTAGCCGTTTTGGTACCTGCAAACATTTATCCATCTATCTAAACTTTCGCAATCCTTAGATTAGTAAGATTGAGTTACATATTTTATTTGTCTTTCTTATTCATATTGGTTATAATTTGAGTTTATTATGAAGCAGTTTTAACAGTGGTAGAGCACGCTTTAACATCTTCGTACGGATTGGCCCGGCTCGCCCGGTGAAATACCACGACCACACAGAAGACACGCGTGAAATGGAGACAATTCCGCGTTTCGTCTGATGAGTGTGCGTCCCGGAGGCCTAATTTAGTCCTCTTTCCCTTCCCACCCTTTTTCTTATAAGGAAAGGATGGGAAGTGGAAGTGGACTTTCCGGATGAGAAGATGCATGGAAAGGGAAAACATTTTCTTTCTGTGCATCCTCTGTGCCAATTAAAGGTAGGCAACGCATATGCAATTGCGTATGTCTATGGGCAACGGTCACTTCGCTATTTCAGCGATTTCAGGTGGCCGCTCGCTCGTTTGCCACCTTATGATATAAAAAAGAAAGCAGTTTTCACACATTTGCATAAAATAACATTATTTTATTGTTGTTTTTCCCATTGTTAGAAATATCCATTCCAGCCATACAAATAACAAATGTATTAATAAAACAAGAACTCCTTCAAATTAACATCAGCTTTTAAAACGTTTGTCTCCAGAGTAAATGGTCCATCTGAAAATAAAAACACATTATTTTTAATCGTCATTATGAATATATGCCTTCCCTAATGCCTGCGACAGTATGCGGCCAGTTAGTTTCAAAGCAATATATAATTTTAAAATATGCAGTCAAAATTGGAGTCACTGTCCGGTTCCGAGGGACCAATTCCATAAGCGAGGAATTCTTTGGAGAGTAACCTCTATAAAGTAAAATATTGCGGTCTCATAGACTCTTTCTAATTCAGGTTCGATTTTAACTATAATTGTGACAGTAACATCAGTGCTGCTATCGGGAAAAAATATGACGATTAGTCTGTACAGAGTGGCAGCGCATCGAGCGCAATCAATATAAAAACTTTATCAAAAAAGACTCTTTCAAGAAAACAATGCTACTTTTATATCTATTCTGGTTATATCCTTACCAAGATGAAACCATTCAGTCCTAGGGTATCCGGTTTCTTCTCTTGATGAAACTATAGCAGCCCTCAAAGCAAACGCCACGCTCACTGCTAAACACATCGGCGGCTCTGTTGTTGCTGGAAAATTAGCGAAGGTATCACAAACAAGAATAGTCGAGGAAACAACTATAAGAAGAGTTATACTACAACAATAAATTACACGACCCTAACCAAGAGGGTGAGCAGAGATTACGGATTATATTTGATCCCATCACACCTCTCTCTCAAGAATTATTATATTTTCTACTATGGGCGAAAAGAACTTGTATCTCTTCAGTTATTATTGTGGTAAAAATAACTTAAAACCTAGTGAATAGCTGATTTTCTCAAACGTTCTTTTAGAAACTCGATTTATTTCAATACACATGATCTTAAACTATGGACGGTATACTCAAAGGTTACAACGTGTATTTTTCTGTTGAGTCATAACGTGAAATTTTACGTTTACATATTGTTCAAATATGACTTACTTTTTGCTCCAAAAACACCAATCGGATTAAATGAGTTCGGTCTCAGTTTGACTCTGAAGTCAATTGGAATGTCTTTAGCTAGAGGCACGTGGTAGTTCCACGCGCGGTCTGTGAGCAACTCTCCAGTCTTTTTGTCGTATATCAAATCCTCACAAGTCCAGTATCCAGTCGCCATTATGAATGCTCCCTCAATCTGATAAAAGAATTTCATTATTTTTAAACGGAATATAAATTAGTCGTTTTAGACATTATTAGTTTGAATCCTTTGGCGCGAATGACGTGCGTTACAAAGTCCAGTGTCACAATGAATTTTTTTTTTGAGACTGAGTAGTTGCTGTTTGCCTTGAAGAGGCATTTACAGCTTCACCGGCCTTGAGGTGGCCGAGCGTAGATGGCGCTTAGCCTGAACCTCGTAAAGCCTGAACTTCCTTTTATAATTAGTGGACACAAATCTCGATATTTTAATAAAGCTAGTATTGAGTATATTGTATAATATATTGACTCATTTTCGGATTTTCTTCCTAAGAGTAGTGAGACAAAAGAATTTCTTAGTTTATTTACCTGCCCTATGTCTAATTCTGGATTTATACTAAATCCAGCATCTTGTAATATATCTGCTCTTAAAATATCATGCTCTCCTGTTAATATATCTAGTTCCACTTCTACCACGGCAGCTCCTGGTACTCTAAAAATTTCTTCATCATTCGGAGTCACTCTGTAACTTGTTTGCAGATTTATACCACGCAAGAATGCAGTTTGTATTAGTAATTCCCACGTAGGATTATTCATTGTCTCTCTAACTGTAGATAATCTGTCTAGAAGTAGTTGACAGCATTTGGTAACACCAAAGCATACTGCGTGAGTTGTCCGACTTCCACCAGTGATATTGGAATTAGGTGTAGCAGAAACTTCTGTTGATTTAATCTTTACCTTATGTAAAGGTATTTGTAGTACATAAGCGACTGTTTGAGCTACTTTCGTGTTAATACCTTGACCGATTTCTATACCTCCATGTCTTACAATCACAGAACCATCACCGTGGTACACTGCTAATAAAACATGAAAGTCCATCACAGTTGACGCAGGCCAACTCATCAGAGCAACACGAAGACCTCGTTTCTTCCAACGATTTAATTTATTAAAAGCCTGTACTTCTTCTTTCCTTTTATGATATTCACTGGTCTCTACAATCATCGCAACAATTTCAGCTAAATCTGAATATTGTGGATTTAAATTATTCAAACGTACTTCTAAAGGATCTTTATCCAGTTCGTAAGATATACGTTCCATTATATGCTCAGTCATAGCTATACCTTCAAGTTCACCTATAAAAATTTGTATTATTAAGATTTATATTAGACATACTTGGCTTTGTTTGCCTTCAATAATCCGCAATCAATCAACGACACAGTGCTTCTAGGTCGCTTGAAGCGGCTAGTAACCAAATAAGGCGCCGCAGGTCTTGGATTGGTCACACTCCGTTGAGATCCTATTCAGATCCCTCGGGAAGCTCTGGACTGGGTGAGGGAGTGGGTTGAAATAAACGCGGCGGTGATTTGTGTCAGTAGACCAACCACAGAGCCCAGTATAGAGAGAGATGACTGTGAACACCCTCTGCCCCATTAAGGGCACTAAGGACGATATATGAAGTACAAAAACGGAGTGGACTGTACCTGGAGATCTGGCATAGGTATTAGAAGCAGTATCAGTAGTAACATTGAATAACTTATAAGACCATCTTCTGTTGTCGTAGCAGTTCTTTACCGCAGAGATAGCAAATAAAAGGACAGGATCGCCAACAACGTATCCATTGTCTGAATACAAATGATATTCCAAATACTGTACTTCCCCAGTGTCATTTACTCCAACCTGAAATGTCATCATTATCAGCTCACTATAGGTCCCCACTCTATGCTAGGAGTGACTAGGCCATAGTCAACCACGCTTGTCCAGTGCGGGTTGACTTGACACATACTTTTGTAATTTCTTCACAGATATGTGCAGGTTGCATCACGATTTTTTCCTTCACCGTAAGAAGGTCGGATAAATGTACATATGTAAATCGAAAACACATTGGTACATGGAGGGGAATTGGTACACGGTAGAGACTTCGTTGAGAGATGATGATGATATCGCAAATACACAAAATCACAATTTAAAATTGTGATACTAATTTAAAATTCTTTTGGTCAATAAATTAATAATAATATTAAACATGCAGTCGGTGTGGCCAGTGATATTAAAATCAATTTTACCTCATAATCTACCATACAAGGGTTCCGTTTACCAACAATCCGAGTATTAGCCTGCATGGACATAACGAAGCGGCAAGGTCGATTGGTAAAGTACGTGCTGAGAGCACAGGCGCTGGCGATGAGGCAGTTGCGGGATATTTTAGCACCGTACGCACCGCCCAGACGTGGTACTGTCAGATTAATTCTGGAAAGAATTATTGACATTTCATCAAAAATCTTTGAAGACAATGCTATCCATCGAAATTAATAAGCCTAACTACTAAAGCTTAGATATTTGGAATTTAGAACAAAGATTTCTGACACTAGTTCCTCAAAGCAAGTTAAAAAGTATCTACTAGCAGGTAGATCATGAAGCGTTTCTAAAAAAATTGCAGGAACTAAATGTAAAATTTACAAAGTCATACCTGCTTTGTTCAATATTTAACACCTGTGAAATTGCGACGTGAATCTGATCAGGCCATTGTGTTGAAGCAATCACATCAATACCGTCCTCACTTGGCTTGGTGACGCACGACTGTGTCTCCATGTGGTAATGGTATTGTGCAAATATATTATTTGATCCTTTCATAATCCTCTGCACATTCAATCCTTTATCTCTTGCAGGGTAGACTATAAAAACTGTTACACGTTCAGGTTCTCTGTCTAATACTTCCCTTATTGTTAAAACTGGCTGTTGTTTTACGTTTTTGTATTTTGCTTTAACTATCAAAGCAGCTCTGTTAGCTATCTTTTCTGTTTCAGCTATGATGATGCCTATTGGTTGATTGTAATATTTAACATCTCGTTCACATAGAATTTCTTCGGGAACCAGTCCACTTTCAATATTGAGAGGCACAAAGTTATTTGATCCAGGTATATCTTTTGCCGATAGGAATGCTAGTACACCAGATAGTCCCTAAAAATAAAAAAGAAATGGTTCTAAAAATTTAAATCCAAACAAACATTTCTATACCAAGAATGAACTGTCGATTCAATGAAAAGCGCAGTAATTAAGTAAATAGAGCCATGTTGAATTCAGGATATGACGGCCATATTGACATTTGACTTTAAAGTTTCACATACAATTTCTATTACATTTTCTGGTCCAATAATCAAGGTTAAGCTTATTAACGTAAATAATACTTACTAATGCTATGGACGGATCGATACATTCAATTTCACCAACACTGATTTCAGAAGGAACGAACGCACAGAAAACTTCTCTTGGTAAAGTTGGAGTGTCATTAACATAAACAGATTCTCCTGAACATTGAATTAGTGCTTCTAATTTTGGCCTGGGTTCATTTAGTGGCCAAAGAGTAGGATTTGTATCATACTCTTGCTTCCCAGAGGATAGAGGCCTTGTTTTTCTTAAATCTCTTTTACCTGATCGATATCTAGGAGCTAATTTTGTTTCAGGAATTAAAGATAGTAAACCCTGAAAAAAATATATGTTTTTAGAACGGTCAATTAAGGTTAAGGAATAATTTTGCAAAGTTATTTTTCTTAAGTTATCAAATTGTCACGAATATTTTGCCAACAAAGTAACTAAGGTTGATGCGAAAGGCATAAAATAGTTTTACAATCTTTCTAATATTATAAATGCGGATGTTTAGATTGATGGATGGATATTTGTTTAAAGATATCTCCGGAACGGCTCAACGGATCTTGATGAAATTTGGTACAAATATAGAATATAGTTTGGAAAAAGACATAGGCTACTGATTAATACATGAAAAAAAATCATTATTACCTTATATAATAAGCCGAGAGCACATTTCTTTCTATACTCCGGCGACAAATACCCTCTTATCTCTTCTACTATCAATTCTCCGTTCAAAACTTCAAGCGCTAGTTGCAAAGTTTCATTTGTAAATATTTTCTTTCCAATAAGACAGGTCTCAGTTTTTACTGCATGTATAAATTTACCAGAGAGACCTCCGTAGACTATTCTCGCAGATTTTACTGTTTCATGATCCACGTCTAGTTCGTAAAGAAAAGCTGAGTGGACTTGAGCATGAGCATTTTGTGATCGAGGCATAATCTGCAATCATTTTTGATATTATCAATTCCAGATCATTATTAGCTTTTGTTTAAAAAACTACGCAGCTACGTAATTTTAGAGAGTGGACAGGGATTAGGTCAGCGGAGGAACTGTTTCGCCTTGCACTTATAGCACGATAGGAACAAATATTCCAAGTTAGCGGCCAACCTTCAAGACTAAAGCTTAGAAGAAGAAGTTTAAAAAATATTTAGGACAAAACCTTGACAAAATGGTAAACTGCCTAGTTATGGTCTAGGACCAGTTTTACGAGGAATATATACGAGGATTACATACCTTAAAAGAAACAAACTCACAATTATGAGACAGTGGAGGTAATTTGATCTGTGTGATTATTCGACCAGTCATATCAATTTTTAGAAAAGTCTCGGGTGTTACTTCGTCTATTGATGAAGCAGAAACTGTAGAATAAAAATTAAATTAATATAAAATTTCAGTTTTGGCTAAACATAATATATTGTCTTTATTAATTTCCAAAAATTTATGATTATGATTATTTTGAGTTTCTGTTAAGACGAGCGGCTGTACGCGACTCCGTCCGCGCATAAATAAAAAAAACACAATTAGTTCTATATGTGCGCCAAATTCCATCGAAATCCGTTAAACCGTTCTGAAGAAACCTTCTAACAAACATCCATCCATCGAAACATTTGCATTTATAACATTAGTAAGATATAATTTTATTAATTTCATCTTACCAATTGTTAGAGTTGCACCTATCGCTTCAAGTAACAAAAACACATCGGATGAAAACGTCAGTTCTCTATGTTTGAGCATCAAATTACCAGCCACTGAGCCTATCTGAAATGTTATATCAGTTTTACAACAAAACAAGAGACAATCAATACGTTTCGCTTTGATACTAGCTGTAGCTGTGGCCATCTGCACGAAATTAAAAAGAAAACCTAACTAGTAGCCATTGTGTTCTTTCAGACTATGATTACTAACAAACATCTATCCATCCTCTTTCCATCTATCCATCTGAACATTCGTGTATATATTAATAAAAAGTTTTAGACGTTATCACTTTGAATCGTTATTGAGTCAAGTGTCAGATTAATTAATAAGGGTACATAACCCTAGACATTTTAATAAGGCTAGTGTTGCGTCGATACACCGGGCACAGTGTCGGATTCTCTTCCTAACAGAAATAAGATTTCATTTGTAATTCACTTACATTTCTTACAGGTATATGTGCAACTAAATTTAAATGATCGTATAATTTCTTTAAATAGTAAAAGTTTTCTTCTCTCTCTGATATATTTTTGAAAAGATCCATCAAATCTCTCAATGTTATTCCCGCGCCGATGACTAAATTCTGATCCATATAATAATTCTTTAATTCTTCAACAGAACTTATATCTATTAAGACTTTAGGAAAGGCGAAAATAGGAACCGCTCCTGTAACAAATGTTTTATTATTAACTCTTGTGGTTTTTGATATTAAATTTTAAATATTACTTTTAACAGTGGTAGAGCCAGCTTTAGCATCTTCACACGAATTGGCCGGTTCGCTCGGTGCAGTACCACCACACAGAAGACAGGAGTAAAGTGGAAGCAAGCAATTCCGAGTTTTGTCTGATTGCCTTCCCACCTTTTTCTTAAATGGAAATTATGGGGAGAGGAAGTAGATTTTCCGGATGATGGGGATGCATGGAAAGGGAAAATATTATCTTTCTGTGTCTGCGTCCTGTGTCGATTAAAGGTAAGCTACGCATATGTTTGTGTATGTTTATGGGCAACGGTCGCTAGTTAAGCGATTTCAGACCTCTCGCTTGTTAGCCACATTATGATATCAAAAACTTACCGCGTCCAGTATTCCCATTAACTAACATGTAAGAGTTTGTACCTTCAGTACTAAATATTTCAAAAACATCTCTTATTTCTTTAACTCTATACCAAATTCTATCATCTTTTAAAGGTATTCTTTTATTCTTATTAATGTTCTCTTTGTGTAACAAACACCAGTTATTATCAAGTTCACATTTATCTTTGTCACTGCAAGTTTTCAGATCCTCGATGTCAGTGAGGTTTGCTTCATGAGCGTCGCAGGCGAAACTTTTGAAAGCGTCAAGTATCGGTCTGTATCCAGTACATCTGCACGTATTGCTGCCAAAAGAATCTTCTATTTGGTATCGAGTTAGTTTGTAGTTATTTTCCTCGAGTAAACTGCAAAAATATACCTTTGAGAATGTTGCCTCCATTGTCTTAGTAAAATAATGTAAATTTACATGAATTTGCATGTATGTCAATTCCAATGTCCAATGGAGTTCTATAGCCGAAATGACTGAACAGAATTCGAAGAGGGAGTTGACATCCGTGAATTGGATTTTTTTTGGATTATCGTTTTTATGTATAAATGCGAATGGATGGATGTTTGTGTGAATGTATCTCCAGATCCGCTAACCGGATCTCGTTAAATTTTTGTATACTTAAAGTACATAGTCTGGACGAACATATAGACATTATGTTTTTTTTTTTAATATTCGTGCGGACGGTGTCGCGGGCGACAGCTAGTTTATGAATAAGTCTTTGAAATGATGAATACCTATACATGCTCATAACCCAAGCAGGACTGCAGTAACCACATTGTGTGCCGTTGTACTTCGCCAGGGTTTTCTGTACGGGATGATAATTCTGCCTGTCGCCGATACCTTCTATGGTCGTTATATCCCATCCATCGCATTGCGTTATAGATACCAAACACTGAAATATACAGGATGTTTCAAATATTGAAGATACCAACCAAATTATCATCATTGTTTGAATTGTTCTTTTGTTTTCTTCCAATTAAGAACAATGACAAGTTGTCGATTCAAACCGCAGCACCAGTGTAGTGATTTGAGCACTAAAATTTCTCGTATCAAATATTAGAAATATTATAATTGCGAATTTTTGGATGGACGTATGTATGTTTGTTTGAAAGTATCCCCGGAACCGCTGAATGAATTTTGATGAAATTTGTTACACATGTAGAACATAGGCTACTTATTAAGTTTTTTGTAATTCTGCGCCGATGGAGTCGCGGGCGACAGCTAGTTTTCTAAAAGGGGGTTAGTATGGCAGTAAATTCTTACAGAGTTAACAGAGAAGGTACGTCGATGTCCATAGATGTCGTTGTTGGTGACGTTAACAATACAGGAACCGCATGTCCCCTGCTGGCACATATACTTGGTGCCACGCAAGTTAAGCTGGTCACGAAGATAGTCGTTTATCGTTACATCTGAATCTACTTCATGGCCCACTGTAAGAAAATGCAAAATAAATTCCAGCTTGATACCTTCACGCTTGAGAAAAAGGGACTTGACTGACGGACAGCAAAGTGATCCTATAAGGGTTCCGTTTTTATCCTTTCTAGCGAACCTTAAAATACTAATATAATAAAAACGAATAGTGACGTCAAGATCAAAGATATTCATTGGATGACATTAAAATCGAAATTAATAAAAATGGGAAGGGTAAAATGAAAACGAATAAGCAAGAGTCAGAGAGGATAAGAAAAAGATAAAGACAGAAAAAAGAAACAATGGATAAGTTAAAAGTAATACTCACCAGAATATTTTTTCTTGTTAACGGTAAATTCTATTCTATCCATTTTAAAAATAAATAATAATAAAAAAAAAAACAAGTGACTGCAATTCTGGATTGTCTAATAATGCGAGTGTTGCATTATTATAAAAATTATGAATTTCAACAAAGGTTTATAAAGAACAACGCCTTCTACGGATGTAGTTAATAATAATTTAAACATTTAAACGATCACATTTATGATAAGAACGAATACACACGAGCGATTTATGGCTTTTTTTTATTTATTCTCTGTCTGTCTATAAAATTTGTATTATTTTTTTTATATCATAAGGTGGCAAACGAGTAAACAGCCACCTGAAATCGCTGAAATAGCGAAGTGACCGTTGCCAATAAACATATGCAATTGCATATGCGTTGCCTACCTTTAATCGACGGAGGAAAGGCTGCACAGAAAGAAAATATTTTCCCTTTCCATGCATCCGGAAAGTCCACTTCCACTTCCCCTCCTTTCCTTATAAGATAAAGGGTGGGATGGGAAAGATGACTAAATTAGGCCTACGGGACGCACACTCATCAGAGAAAACGCGGAATTGCTTTCATTTCACGCCTGACTGCGTGGTCGTGGTATTGCACCGGGCGAGCGGGGCCAATTCGTGCGAAGATGTTAAAGCGAGCTCTACCACTGTTTAAAATGGTGTGTGAATAATTTATGTGGCAAGCTAATGAAGGAAAACTTTGAATATTTGAATCACGGGTGATAGGTCAGGTTTTTGATTTGAAGTTTATTAAACCTTTGATATAAAGTATGTAGCTATAACTACTTAAATAATCATCAGCTCACTATACGTCCCCACTGAGGGGCTCGGAGGCTCCTTAAGTTAGGGGTTACTAGACCATAGTGATCGCTGGCCCAGTGCGGGTCGACTTCACACATATCTTTGGATTTGTTCTCCTTCATATTTGTACATGGCGGGATTAGAAACCAGGACCTACATATGCAATCCAAATTGTAACCACCGAGCCATAATATCGATCGTGTGAACATGATTTAACAAAGGTTGGAAATTTCCATATACTTAACTGCAGTTACTCAACGATAATTAAATTAGTTACGCTTGTTTGATGAATATTTATGAATATGAAATTGAATTACATGTTTTAACACCTATGATGTAACTTTTAAGTAGGCAACACCCAGTAGGACTGGCGGCGCTTGGTGAAGCGGGTCACTGATACATGATGACCACGACCAGTCCGAAAAGACTGCGGCGAAGAAGAAGACACCTCCAGTTTTATGTATAACTAGCTATCGGTCGCGATTCCGTGCGCGCGGAATTTAAAAAAAACATTATAAGTAGTGTATGTGATTTTTCAAACTATGTTCTATGTGTATGCCAAATTTCATCGAGGTCCGTTCAGCCGTTCTGATGATTACCTTCAAACAAACATTCATCCATCCATCTAAATACTCGTATTTATATTGTACTAGCTGTCGCTCGCTACTGCATCAATTATAATTAGTAGTCTATGTGTACTTCCAGACTATTTTCTACATTTATGACTACTAAATTTCAGCGAGATCCATCCATACAGCTGTTCTGGAGACGTCTTTTAACAAACATCCATCGATCGCATTTATAACATTAGTATAAATTAGGATAGGAAATAACTTGACACAATTTTTACGTAGTTTTTCAACTGAAGTTTCCTATTATATTGAAGAGTCCTTCCCTATATTTACTCGTTGTAAAAAAAATCTTTTACTTCGCAAGCGTTGTGAATACAAGGTTCGTCCAACTCTCAAGGACCTTCTTTTATGTTACCTACGTGAATGACATTTTCCTGAAAAAAGAATTTGTTTTTTTATAAGTTGAGTATAAATAGTAGTAAATCTTTAAATTAGATTTGTCTACTTAAGTATTTTTCCTGTCGCTTTTATCGTAGGTTTCTGAAGACTCTGTAAAAACGAATAACAATAATTTGTAAACAAGCATTCTAGCCTCAGAAACCCATTATTAGTGTTTCCCGTTGGGCTGATTGAATCTATGAATTCGATAGAACAAATATAAAAGAAAGTCCCAATGGACCAACGGGTAACACACACTTCAGTTAAAAGAAGACCCTTAGCGTAGTTTAATATGAAAAAGTTACTTTAAGGTTCTGTTAAAATTATCATTGAATTGACTGTAGGAGGTAATTCTTTACTTAGTTTTTTTTTAAATACTAAAACTAAGGAATATCCAAGTTGTACCTTTTAAGTTAAATGAGAAAACTTTTGTCGGTATGGGAATGGTTTTAAAGTAAGTTACCACGTAGTTACTTTTCGATATAACTTGTTAAGAAACAGGGAACGGAGTTATTCGATTTATAATAATTTTATCTATGTATGTACTACTAGCTTTCGCCCGCAGCTGCGTCCGCACGGAATTAAAAAAAAGTAGCTTATGTGTTCTTCCAGACTATGTTTTACATCTATGCCAAGTTTCATCGAAATCCATGCAGCCGTTGCAGAGATACCTTCTAACAAACATCCATACATCCAAACATTCGCACTTATATGATTAGTAAGATTTCGGGACTGGAAACACATAATTACAAATCGTCTAGACATTTCAAAATTTCCAAGACGAATGTAACATTCCTTTGCCTTGTTGCATTTGCATTAAAAAAGTCAGATGTCACTTATTTTGTTTATGGAATAGTTAACAATAAGGTCTGCGTTATAAACTCAAAGTTATTTTTTGCCAAAGCTGGACATAGGCCTTCCCAAATGTCTCCCCAAATATGCTCTGTCTTCCTCATTCAATAACTTCCCGCTGTCTGCAAGTTTTTTTTTACTTATCATACGAAGGAGCGTCGGTGGTTCAGGGGTCAAGCACTTGACTTGCAATCAGCAGGTTCTGGGTTCGAATCCCGCCATGTACCAATGTGTATTTCGATTTCCGACTTACATATGTACATTTATCCGATGTTCTTACGGCGAAGGAAAACATCGTGATGCAACCTGCACCTATCTGAGAAACAATTCAAAGATATCTGTGAAGTCAACTACCACGTACGTTGGCCAGCGTGGTTAATAGTGGCCTAATCACCCTTAACTTAGGGAAGGCTCCGAGCCCCTCGGTGGAGACGTATAGTGAGTTGATGATGATGAGGATCATACGAGATTTTTTTTAAATAGAGATTTTTAAAAATAAATATTTAAAACGTATTTTTTCACGTACTCTAAAAACTAAATAGTAACCGTTAACACAATTTATGTTAATGTTAATCAAATAGTTTGTTGGCTCAAACGAAATAACGCAGCGAACCTTGTATCGTAGGGGGTCAAAATTTAAATTTCGAATTAGTATTCGAGTACACAGGGTGTTTTTAAAACCTCTCTCGTTTACGCCCGCAGTTAAATTTGCATGTTAAATTCTGTCGTACACTTGGCGAACGTTTTGTTGGTTGTAACTTTGTTATGAATTCCAAAGATGAGGTGGGCGAAGTGTTAGGTTGCTATTTACTACTGTAAATTGTTGATACATACAAATGCAATATGCACACTAGTTGTCGTCCGCGACTCCGTCTCCGCTGGTATATACATTAGTAGCCTATGTATTGTTCCAGACTATGTTCTACATTAATGCTAATTTTCATCGAGATCCTTTCAGCCGTTCTGGTGATACCTTCAAACAACCATCCCTCCATCCATCCATCCGACCTAACATTTACATTTATAATATTAGTAAGACAGTTATTTTACCGTGGGTTTCTGACTCCAAAGTCTCGCGAGACAAACACCTCTTGTTTTAGAATCACGCCAAATGGATGTCCACGGTCTCTGCCTACCCCTCTAGGATATAGGCGTATGTTTTTGAAATACAATATTATTCCTGCGAATGAATGTTACATTTAACATAGTTATGTTTATATGTTAGTTAATTTATACAAACCTTTAGAAGCAAGACTTCTATAGAGCGAAGTACATAAATTGTTCGAGACTCAGGTGTTACTAAGTACACATTCATCGAGTTTCGGCAACGAGGAAAATGGATTCCACCTTTGAGTTTTGACATAAAACATACTTATGTTAATTTATACGTTTAATGAAGGAAATGTATTATATATTTTGGTGTTTATTTACGACTAGCTGTAGCCCGCGACTCCGTCCGCGTGGATATACAAAAAAAAAATAGTGTAGCCCACCCATCCATCCATCCACATCACATCCATCTAAACATTCGCTTTTATAATATTAGTGAGTTAAAACAGCTCTTTAAGGCATAAATTCGAAAAAAAATGAATAAATAGTCCTATGTCCGTCTCCTGGCTCTAAGCTACCTCCTCACCATTTTTCCGCCATATCGGTAAAACCATTTTGAGTTATAAATAGTGTAACTAACTCGACTTTCTTTTATATATATTATAATATATATATATATATATTTGTGAATTAATAAACCGGGAAACTTAGTTTTATAAAGAAATAAATCGAACTATGACTCAGTCGTCAAAATCGGATGTTTACGACATTCGCCTTTGGGAAGTCATCGGTAAAATATATTAAAACTAGCTGTCACCCGCGACCCCGTCTGCGCGCAATTAAAAAAAAACTTAATGGCTTATATGTTTTTTTCAGGCTATGTTCTACATCTGTGCCAAATTTCATCAAAATCCACTGAGCCGTTCCGATTGGATCCAATTATACAAATCTTACTATACGGATGGTTGGATGTTTGAACCCCACAACGGCTGAACGGTGAAGAAAAAAGAAGTGAAGAATAAAACTGGCAACATTCTTGTTAGCGTAAAAATAGGCAAGCTAAAATACTATAGCAACACCAAACATTAATATTTCCATCCACGTTCTGCTATAACAGTTTCGCCTGTGTATTGGCAACCCTCTTCAAAAAAATAACCATTTTTATTTGCCTTTGATAACGCGAGATCTCACTTGAATTAATTTACTTTATATCTACGAGTAGATAGGATCTGCGAAGTAGACGAAATAGTATCGAGGGAATTTTGGTTATATGAACATTTTATTTTTAATTAAAGACTAGCTGCCGCCCACGGCTG